CAATTCTACTAGAAACAGCAAAATATGCTCAGTGAACAGTCTGTGCATACAGCCACTGGTCTAAATCAACTCCACTGCCAAACTGGCAAGCACCAGGAAATACATTAAATGAATAGACAATTCAGAAATGTCCAACAGATAACTAAAATTGCAATTTTATTTTTTTCAATAATATTCATCAGACAATTTTCTGACAAGACTTTTCTGAAAGATGAAGTGCAAATGGGAACCCTGTAAGAATGTTTAGAAGAATTGTACATGACATTTTTTAAGCGCCACTAAGTACACATTGAATACTTTGTAAGTATATAGGCATAGCAACATGCAAGTGTCATGTACCTTACATTACAATATGCATTTTGTATGCTTAACGTTATTAATGATGAAATTAAATAAAGGAAACGCATCTCACCATCAGTGCAATATGTTTAATTCCCATGGATTTTGTTTTCACATTAATGGCCATATTCAACTATAGCCTCCCCAAGGCCATAATTTGGCAGTGTAAGAAGAGAGTACACTGGAGTTCCTAGAAGAATACACTTACACTGACTACGAATAGATGAGGTTGTTAAAGTCCTTTCACAAATTATGCCTTACTATTTGTCCTAGGAAACTTCAGCTTAAGTTTTTTGTAGTTATAAAATATCTATGCTAAAAGTAAAGCATACATGAGGACTGCTTTACAATTCTGCTGGAAAAGAGCTAAATAGCAATGTGTATTAAGGACTTGAGCCTTGCTCTTTTGAAATCGATAGGTGTATTGTACCCAACTTTGGTGGAAGCAGGACTTATATGAGTTCAGTAATCCATGAGTTCACTCTCGGCTCACTGTTTAGGCAGAAGCTGACGACAATAGGTCATATTTGCATAATTCCATGGAAGCTATATAGGGGTATAAGAAAACCTGCTTTCACTGAAAATGACCATGTGTGGAATTGCGTATTTACTAACATTAATCAATATGCATAGAAAGGAGAGGAAGTGATAAAGAATTTGGCCCAGCAATTAAAAGATTTTCCTCCTCTTCATAATCAACATAAAGAGTTGATCATGATCATTACTATTTTCTTTACAAGTAATTACTTTAAAACCCCTCCTTTAGAACCTATTATGAAAACCCTGCAATGATTTCAATGTAGAATAAGAATAAGAAAATGAGTATGTTTAGAAGAAAATAGCATCAGTGATTTTCAACACTATGCTTAAAGGCAGAGTAAGGCTGACCGTAGTTTGTGCTGAAATGTGAGATCAGAGCTCACACATGAAACCCTGCTGGCTTGACCCTGAACACAGGGAAAGTGCGAAAGTGCTGACCCTAACAGGCTTAGCTTTACACCTGGAATCTTAACATAAAATAGAAGAAATAAAAATCCTTGAACTTTTCTTTAATAGTAACACAGATGTGCTCCTTTTAGAGGACAGACTTCTTTTTCTTACCTCCTTTCCAATTAGACTGCTGCTTTTAGCCCAACAGAGAATAGACGAGTTAAGACACAGACTGTGGAGGGCAGATCTATAGTAAACATAGAAGCCATGAGGAAGCATGGGGTTTGGGGTTTTTTTTGGTTTTTATTTTATATTTTCTTTTTTTTTTTTTACATTTTGCCACCTCCTGAGAGGCTCTTGAAGCCCCTTGTACCCTCTAGTAGAGTCATCATATTGGCTCCACACCATCTTCCATCTGCTTGTGAGTACATTAAACGTTGCTCAAAAGAATGAACATCGCTTGGCAACAAGATGATTCCTAGATGCTGGAAGAAATCCCTTAAGGACTGCTGGAAGCGCACAAAGCTCAGAGCATCCTGAGGATGTGGAGTGATATGGAAGTGTGCTGTTAAACCATGTTTTGTACCTTTATTTCCTCCTGAGTTAAAACAAGTGCAGAGTGCTGGGTTAGGTTCATCGACAGCAAAAAGAAACTGTCCTAGCTTCTGTTAATACCAAGTAGACAACTCCCATTTGCTTTAGAGGTACTAGGTCCATGCTGAAAAAAATACATAGGAAGTCCTGCTCTCAGCATGAGTTTCCACTCTGCTCTGTTGACACCAAAGGAAGCTCTATCCATTTACTTTTCTCTTACTGTTTGCAATAGTCCTTCCCTGTCCCCCATGCATTGCGTGTTTTTAATGTAAACATGCCCTGGCAATATTATGTTTAAATAAGTAAGAGACATGTCAGAATATGTCAACAGTATTGGTATTGCATATTTAATTCAAAAGCTTGCATGTGCTTTTAAAAGTTTCTCTTTAAACCTGCATGCCTTACCAGAAAGAACTGTGTTGCAGTTGGATTGCACATCATTATCTAGCACTGGCTAAATACTGATGTGTTCTAGCAGTTTATTTTTAAGCTGTTTGTGATGAATCCCCAGCTTGTGTAAATTGGCCCACGTTTAAGGCAACAGAGTGAAGCTGATTTATACAGCTGAGGCTGTGTCCCTATGCCCTGTTAAAACCTAAAACTATCCCAAAATTAGTAAAGAACAGGGCAAGAATTATGAACCCAGGCAAGATTATGTTTTGTATTTTTAACAGAGAAAAAATAAAAATACAGTGATCTATTTTCAAGACTACACTGAAGATTCAGTAGTATTTAAAATGTACACAAATATCTCATAGCTAGTATTTAGACTAAGAGGTAGATGTCATATTCTAGGAATAGTAAAGCATGTGGAATGATGCTAATGGCTGTTGCTGAATACATCTATTTGCCTGATATGCAGGACACAAAGGAGGGTTATAGCAATGGCAACCACAAGAAGGCTTACAATGTTATTTTCTTCTTTTGCTAGTCTATCTCGTCTGTCTTTTGGTGCATTCCTTCTGGAAGGGTATGATGGAAAAGTGCGAAGAAGCTAAAAGATCAGTAATACAAAATTTTATGTTCACAAAATGTTAGCTTTATCATTAAAAGCATCCTCTGTACTTTGATGGAAGCATTTTGTACTTACAATTTAAGATTACCTCGTGTTACTGAGGAAGTAGTAGAAATTCCAGGTGAGGTGATTCAGCAAAATAGGGGTCAGAAGAATGCAGCTCTCTCTCTTTCTCTGTTGTTCATGCTAAAAATATCAGGGCATATGGCAGCATATTTCAGCATCTTAACATACTAGGCTCCCTTGAGGAGAGAAAAAAAGAGGAAACTTGTGCTGTTGAGCCAGAAATAGATTACAGAACAGTGTTGCCAGACATACAGAGTGCTGGCAGCAAAGCCATCAGCCGAGTCAGTGTTTTAATTTGCCTACATGTGTTTCAGTGATATTTGATGGGCCTCAAAGAAATGGAAAGCAAAGATAGTGAGAATGAGGAGCAGTATAAGCATTTTTATAAATTAGTTATCATTGCAAGCAGAGGAATTACACATATTGCATCAGGATATCCACTATTTGTCTATGTGCCTTCCAGTTTCCCCTTGTGACTGTTAGCGGGTCACCCCCCTGCTTCAAATAATCAAAATGCATATTATAATTACACGGTTTTCCAATATCCATACACAGCAAGTACAAGATACTTACATGTAAGTACACTGTATTTACCTATATTTTTGCATAGTTTTTAGTGTGTACTTTGTGCCACTTAATAAAAAGCATTACTCGTTATTTTTTTTGTGGTTGGTTGTTTTTCTCTATTAGACAGCTTATTCAATTCAAGTTGAAGTAGCTGGATTTTTGGTATGTTCGTCACATATTACCAGTTCCTAAGAGTGTAGAGATTGGACATTTGCAGGAGTCTGGGTAAGTGGCGGGTGGGAGACGGGGGGAAGCTGTAGGGTGACATTTTGAATATGAAGTTTTAAATCAACTCCTTAATTAAGAAATGCAGTATCAGATTTACAGTGCTAATTTAATAAAACTTACCTTTAATTTGAATGGAATTGTAAAGGTAAGAAATCCATTTTCCTTTTGGTAACACTTTACAATAAGTGGCACTAAATTACACTATAACTGCTATGTTACAGGGAATTACATGTAACTACACTGTAACTGTTGAAATAGCTACTGTACATGTGCGTACATGGTAACTTCAGTGCTGTTACAATCATGAATTACATAATTACAAATGACTCTGTCCTTTCTTTTCATTGAAATAGTCATATATATATATTATACTGTAATGAAAACACACAAGATGTTAACTTTCATGTCTTATTTAGAAAAGTTGATTTTCTTCACGTATTCCTTTATAGAGGGAGTCTCAGTGCAAGACAAACCATCCTTAAGTAATATGGAAACTATAATTTGTTCTAACTTAAATGCTGACCCTCAATTTACACATCAGGTGACTTAAACTTTTTTCTTCGTTTGTCAGATGACACTAAAAGAGTGGGATGATACACCCCCTGTCTTCTGATGCACCGCTTTATTGTTCAGATCACGAGAATGGTCTTGAAACATTAAAGAAAAAACAAGAATCTACATCAAAAAGTTTAAAAACAATCAGCAAATGACACCGTAAACAGTACACTGGCAGAAACCAGCTTTTCAGAGAGCTAGTCTGCAAGTGTGTGTGGGAGAGGATGTCACATACATTTTAGCGAGGGTGGTTCCCTTTCAGAGCCTCCATTTTGCGCATTCCATGGATACCTAACACCGTAATAAAAGCGTCATTTCAGAATGGGATCTTGGGCAAAGGGAACAGACTTTTAGCCTCCTGAATGTCATTAGTGATGAACCACGGTTTGCTTACAAAAAGGAGGGATGCCTCTTCACACCTAGCGCAGTAATTTAAACCTGTGAAGACCAGACAGGCCTGCAAAGTGCTCTCCAGGAAGAATGCTCGGTGTGGGGCTTTCCACACCTGCTTTGTACAGCTGCAAGGGGCATCACCAGCTGCAAGACAATGGAAGATCAACTGTGTTAAGAATGAGCACATGTGAGAAGTTTTAACTGAAAATTAATGAAATAACCTATACTGTCAGTACGACTTATATCTCTTGGGGGTCTTTTTGTTTTGGTGGTTTTTTTTTTTTTTTGGTGTTTTGTTTTTTTTTTTTTCTGCAAAGTTTAAATGCTCTTTCTATGCCACTGGAGAAAATGGTTTGAAATGGTTACCCCAAGGGCAATCCTGCTTTTGAAGGTCATACCTGCCCATGCATGGGTAATGGTTCAAGTAACAATTCTACTAGTCAAGCAAGCTGAAGTTGGGAAGAATGAAAAAATATGTAAACACTACACTGGTGGGGAATTCCACTTTAGCAAATACGGCCCTCATCCAGAGAAATGCTTATTTTTAAGCATATGAATAGTGCCTTACAGTCCAATGGAATGTCTCTGATACCTGAAGCTGAAGATGTGCTGAAATGCTTAGCTGAATTGGGCCCAAGGTCCTGAAATAAAACCTTCTTGTATGTGATGCTGTACCTTAGCTAATGCAACTTACTGTTGTGACAAGAACCCATATTTTTGGTATTAAACTGAATGACTTCCTTTGCCAGCCTTTTTCATGTGTATGCTTTGAAAGACATGAATATCTTGTAAACCTATACTAGTTTTCAATGTGTCTAGTAGCACCTACCTGGTTCTCTCAAACTACCATATTATATTAACATATTATTGCATTTTTCCACAGATGGGTATGGAGCGATCTGTAAAAACAAGCATGCAACCACATCAATGCAGACTTATTTCTTTAAAATGTCATACTGTATATGATTTATTATGTTAACACTCAACCACATCATATTATTTATGTCTGTATATTTTGAAAAAAAGTGCTGCTTTGATTGACGTCACCCATCTTTCTTAGAAATCAAGATAAATGTTTCAACAAAACAATTAAAATACTCTAATATTGTCCTTAAAAGGTTCATACTCTTCTGATAAATAATCTGACACAGCACCTTTGTCTTCCGTTTCACCATACTCCATGATGTCATATTCCAAACTCTCCCTTACCCACACAAAAATAAAATCCCAGGAGAAAGTCCTTTACAGCAGACCATCATGCTTTTAGGTTTCACAAGTACAGCAACCAGACAGAAGCACTCTTTTGTCAAAGGTGCAAAACTTAGGAGCAAGACCAGCTCCTGCTAGATTAACTTGCATACTCCAGTGTAGAATCATTTCCAAGAGCTGTTATGGCCACCCTTTAGTTTCATTGGAAGAGGATATAAGCCGATGGGCTTACAGTGTTTTGTTGTCATATTTAAGAGCATGTGATTTTTCAGCTGTCAATTACACACACAAAAAAAAATTAATCAGAAATAATCCAAACAGAGACTTTCACTGTGGAGCTAAAAGCATGGCAGGAATTCTCTATCATTCACGGTGACATAAGTTTGTACCTCACAAAATGCATAGACAGGAATTTAATATAAAGAATTAGTCCATTTACTGTATACACAAAACATATATCTTTTGTTTTAACACTTCTATTTTTTTTTCTTTTTTCTATTTTTTTCTATTTTTTGGCAAACCAACATAGAGAAGCAGCTCTGGAACTGCCAAATTAAAAATCAAGAATTTTAGCAACTCAATAGTATTTTTTTAAGGATAGTAATCAAATGTGGTTGTAATTTAAAACCTGAGGCTGTGCACTGGTTGTTAGCTTAAAACTACCTTCCATATAACATTGTGCTTCCATTGTATAACAAACAAAAAAATTAACAAGAACTAGAAAAGTTTGCTGCTGAACAGTGCTAGGACATACAGACAAAAAATACTAATACATGTTATCTACTCAGAATACTGATTTGAGTAATATCTAAAGGGATATAATGGACATTAGAAAATGCTTACTTGTGACTGACTGAGTTACTGCCCAAAAGGTTGAATACGTATCAAATAATGTTTAATTGAATTTATTATATGCACTATATACAGATACTAAAATGCCTTGTGGTTGTGCCCCATGAACACTTCAAATTTGAGCAGGCAGGTGAGTTCATGTGAAGCAAATAAATTATAAAACCAGAAATTACTCAGAAAGTTCTCTAATCTTTGCAATCCCAAAAACCAGTAAAAGGGCAGGACAAATTTGTTTGAAATTAAGCACTATTATCTAACCCTGCAGAATCTGTATAGCTATTCAGCATTTTTTTACCACTGAAACACGGCACTGTTGTCAAGGTACCATTTCAAACATAACAAAACAAAGCAAAGCAAAACAAAACAGAAAAAAAACAGCGAACTGCTTTTTCCTTACCAAATCCAAGTATACAAGAAACTATACTAAAAAGATTTCAGTTTGTGTTTCCTAGGGCATATGCTTCAAAACCAAGTTGCTTTTTGAATTATAGATAGACACGTATAAAACATTCTTTGTAAGCCTCTAATCTTACACTTAACATTTTATGTAAGTAAATTAGATCCTTACCTAACAGTATTTGTTATGAGCATTGTTCTATGACACACTAGTAGGGACACTATAAAAGAAAACTGAAAAAGAAAGCTGCATGACATTTAAACATGTAGAAAACTTGGATTAAGATGATGATTAATATTGTTAAGGCTGTATATTCAAGCACTGTATGTTAAGAGAGCAGTGGATATGAATTTTAGGCAATAAGAAATGTCCTGCTTTACGCATGATACTGTAATTATAGAACGATGATGTCAACAGCTGATTGTTGGCATAAACTGGCTGCTTATAGCAGGTATGTGAGTTAATAAAGATAGCAGAAGATGGTAGAAATGAATTCTGAGAAATGATAGCCAGTTTCCTCCAGCAGTCAGCCTGATAAGTAAAACTTCAAGATTCTAGATCTGCATCTAAATGAAATACTCTTTTTTCTCCTCTGCATTGACTTGGCTGCCTTCTGCATTGATAATGGCTGTGTCGGCATCAGGTGCATCTTCAGCTCCTTTTGCTTCATTTGTTAAATATGTTCCTATAGGAATCAGTACAACAGAAAAAAAGGAAAAAATAATTAGGATTTTTTAAGGTTTACACTGCATTATAGGAAGTACATTTCTAACAATGCTTCAGTTGCTTCATGATCAGGCAAATATATTTACATGATTTTTGTGTACATCATACAGGTATGCTCAACTTTCTCATTTGTCCAAGAAATATTTATAGCATTGATACTGATAGTACATATCCACAAGTTCATGTATAACTACAATAAATTAATGTCATTTTAAAGTAAAGATCCAGGTAGTTTTATTAACTGAACATGTTCACACATACTGTTACAGATATTTTTTATGTTTAGGATATGAACAAAAAGATATGGGAATAAAAAGAATTGTGTACATTAGTCAACTTTCCCTTTGTGAAAAGCATTATTTAAATTGGCATAGGATGCATAATTTCAGTCAGGAAACTAAAATAAAAAAGACACGCTTCTACTGGCTCATTAAAAAAATTCATATTTCCCTCAGTCCAATAAAATTAAAAACATGCTTATATCAGCTATCCATATGATTATCCTACCTAAAATGAGATTTAAAGAGTTATTACCAACACTGTGGAGCAAAAAGCACAGCAGGAATTCTCTATCATTCACAGTGACATAAGTTTGCACCTTAGGGAATCAACCAAGTTTTAACAATAGGTCTAAAAGCTATTTGGAGGTTATATATCAATAAATTATAACTAGAACAAAACAGAAATGTAGAGAAGCTTCGTCAGAAGTCAGTGTCACTTCATCCTGATTATCTCTAATCATAGGATAGTCAGAGTTGGAAAGGATCTTAAGATCATCAACTTCCAACCCCCCTGCCATGGGCAGGGACACCTCACACTGAACCATGTCACCCAAGGCTCTGTCCAACCTGGCCTTGCACACCGCCAGGGATGGAGCATTTGCAACTTCCCTGGGCAACCTATTCCAGTGCCTCATCACCCTCACAGGAAAGAACTTCCTCCTTATATCCAATCTAAACTTCTCCTGTTTAAGTTTTAACCCCTTACCCCTTGTCCTATCACTACAGTCCCTAATGAAGAGTCCATCTCCAGCACCCCTGTAGGCCCCCTTCAGATACTGGAAGGCTGCTATGAGGTCTCCAGGCAGCCTTCTCTTCTCCAGGCTGAACAGCCCCAACTTTCTCAGCCTATCTTCATATGGGAGGTGCTCCAGCTCCCTGATCATCCTCGTGGCCCTCCTCTGGACTTGTTCCAACAGATCCATGTCCTTTTTATGTTGAGGACACCAGAACTGCACACAATACTCCCAGCAAGGTGTCATGAGAACAGAGTAGAGGGGGCAGGATCACCTCCTTTGACCTGCTGGTCACGCTCCTTTTGATGCAGCCCAGGATAGGGTTGGCTTTCTGGGCTGCGAGCACATACTGAAGCCGGCTCATGCTAAGTTTCTCATTAACCAACACAGAATCACAGAATCCCAAGGGTTGGAAGGGACCTCACCCCCAAGTCCTTCGCTGCAGGGCTGCTCTGAATCTCTTCTCTGCCCAACCTGTAGCTGTGCCTGGGATTGCTCCGACCCAGGTGTAGAACCTTGCACTTGGCATGGTTAAACTTCATGAGATTGGCATCAGCCCACCTCACAAGTGTGTCAAGGTCCCTCTGGATGGCATCCCTTCCCTCCAGCGTATCAACCAAACCACACAGCTTGGTGTCATGGGCTAATGGTGGGATGGATTGAAAATGAATAGAACCCTTAAGGTGAAATCTCTGAATACAGCAAAACTTAGCCCAGGAAAGAACCCCTTATTTCTGTGGGATCACTGGTAAAGGAGTCACTGATCTGAAATCTCACCACCAGCTTCTGATATTACATTTTAAATATATACCTAAAGTATTAGCACAATTTATTAAAATGGAAAATCTTATTCATTCAATATATATATTCTGCTGAATCAACATACTAGTTAAAACCATGAAATCATATAACTGTCTAGAGCTAAGGGCCAAAGCCAAGGGGCAATCTAACCTTTTAGTCTCTCTAACTCACTGATATATGAGATGACCTTGGGTATGTAACTATATGTCCTTTGCCTTAACCGTTCCACAGGAAAACGGTAGCATTCACAAGGACTTCACTTGTGACTGGACTGTGAACTGAACTTTCTCACCTAAATCATTTAGTAGATGGGGGAAGGAGAAAGGGAACAGCATTCCCAGGTGAAATCATGCCTTGCTTCCAAAAGTGACCGAACTTCCACTAAATCTGTCCTACCTTTATGTCTTGCCAGGTATCGACCAAGGAGAATTATAGAACATAGTGTTACAAAGACAACTACAGCCACTATTCCTCCTATAAGAGCATGGTCAGGTCCGGTCTGTCCAGCCAAAGCATTTGGATCTAGAAGGAGAAACAAAAACAAAAAGTTGTCCTACACAGTCAAAAATTGTCAGGAAATTCAAAATAGCAAATTTTATACTGATCATCCTGAAAATAGGGCATTTCCCTCTTTAATATTCAGCAAGGCTATTCCCACTTTTACTACCAGTATCTTATCAACAACATAGTGCTGCTTGTATTCCCAGATTGTTAAAACCCTGAGGACAACACAGTTATGAAAAATATTACCTTATTCTTCTTTGGCAGAGGATATTAAATTGGAAAGGTTTCTGGCTTTGTCCTCATCATTCTACAACTGAAAACCTGGCCACAGCTATTTATAGAAGGAAAAACAAGGAACTGAGAATTGGGGATCAGATAGCATCAGCAGAATAGTGTCTGCATAATACATAATTTATAGAATTGATTCTCAGCGGGGAACCCTTATATATTCTCTTCCTCTCATTCCTATCCTATTGCACCAGAAATGAAAAGGCAGATAAAGTGTAGCCGTGCCAAGTTCCTCTGCACATGACTAAGTCTGCATGAATTTGGTCAGATAAAGGTATCAGGCAACCTAAAGATCATCATTCAGTCTCAAGCATCAGTTTCTGAATTTGCTAAGAAAACTTGATTAACACCAATGTGAGCAAACTGTAATAAATATAACTGTATTAGCAGGCTCATTGTACTAGCTCTAGCCACAGTGTAAGGAATAATGCCAGATCCTATGCTGGTCATTTGCCTGTTCTGTTGCCTGGTGCTTCACAAAAGTTGCAAATAGACAATCATGGGAAATGGCACTGCGTAGGAGTGAATAATTCTTTGGAGCTTCTGAACAATGACCCATCAACCTGTGACTGTTGACTCACCTGCAATACGCAAAAGAAGGTAAAAATTCAATCTAAGGATTATGCCAAGATTTCTATTTTAATGAAAATGCCTCTGCTACAAAGTAATAGTAATTCTCTGAAGACGTTATTAGCATGTACTGTATGTTGCAATCAGTCTCTCTGCTTCAAGGGTATTTCCCTTGTAGGAGCTGTTTCTAGTCTACAAATAGGCTGCAAACAACTTCTTTGCTTTGCAAAAGGGAAAGGCAGGAAAAATATTTACACAGAAAAGAGGGCAACTCTGTAAAGACCATAGAAGGGTCTCTGTTAATGCCAAGGAGGTGTGATCCCATCATACCATAATTGCATTCTGCTGAGCAGCATTACTCTCTAACAGTAAGATGTATAGATGTATCTACATGCACATAAAGTGTAGATAAATATAATGTTACATAGATGAAATAAAAGAATCATGTTCATGCTGAAATTACACTTTCAGGTTTGCTGGAGCACAAAGGGTATGGCCACTGTTACAGATACAGTTCTGCTCTTAACAGTGAATCCATCAGGCATGGCTTTGTCACTTATTGCTGGATTCCTGAGCTCCCAAATCTTTCTCTTTTGGCTGCTAAGAGGACTTTGGGGAAGCTGCCATAACACTTCTGTGGACATGATGGCAAATAGTAGTTACTGGCCTCAAAAAAAGCTAGAAACACCTTATAAAGTCTTATAAAATCAGTTGTGTGTGCACTCTCCTCTGCCTCCATGAACCTCCTGGTATAGTGCTACTGTTTGTGGTACTACCCTGACTACACAGAATCAGTCCAAGGGGACATCAGCTCTATTTTGATTATTAAAAATGACCCTGAGTTCTGAGTGCCAGCAGCCTCACTGAGAAAAGTAAGACAGTTGATGTCTTGCCTCCCCAAAGCAAGAGCCTTTCAGAAGCTCTGCTTTCTGGAAGGAGTAAGGAGGAGGTGATTGCTTGCTTGAGAAAATGGAAGGTGACAGCTTGCTGCAGGATTGTCAGCCTCCATGAACTCTATAGCAAATTCCTCCTTGTGTGCTGCCTGTGCAGCAACGTTGCTGTAAACATGCTACCCCCTGCAGCAAAAGGTAGCACCCATTTGGGCACTGAGGAACATCCATGTCCCCACGTGCTGCATGAGACCTACAGGAGATGCTCTTTCCTAACACTGGGCCAGAAGCAGCATGAACACGTTTTCCCACTGAAAGCTAACTTCTGATAGTATACTAGCAGTAAAATTAAAGAATGAAAGGGATAATCCATAGAAGGGTTAGCACAACATTTTATCTAGAGATGTTTTTTGAAAAGCTGATTGCAGTGTACAGCCTTAGCTCTACACCCGTATTTACAACCTATTTCCTTGGTGAGCTTTAATAAACAGTAGAGATAAAAATCCTCACAATACACTGAGATGACTATGCCTCTGTGCTTTCATCCTCAGGTGATTTCCTATATACAGGTACTCCTCCTCTGTCATATCTGATGTGACTACATGAAATGACCTAAAGCCAGCATAAATATAAGGTTCCCACCTATCAGTGTGGATTGATGAGACTCTACTGCTGCTATAGGTTGAAACTTTTAACTTCCAAGTTTAATTTATGTATTCACTGGAAAGCAAAGGAAGTATGTTTCTGCCATAATCTTCTAGCACTGGCATCAAAGCCAGATTAGATTGATAAGTATGACTAGAAAAGTTTGTCCATAAAAATACTTGTACATTACAACATTCCCATTATATTACCAGTGAAAAATTTATTTGTTAGAAAGGAAAGGAAGGAGAGTAAGGAGGAGTTGGAAAGAAAGGAAACAAAGAAGGAACCTCAAAAGTGGCCAATATTTCCTTGGGGAACAAGCATTCTTTCATCTCAAAATGAGACTCTGTACAACATAAACAATATTCTGAACTGGAAGTGCACCTCATAGAAATAGTCTTGTAGAAAAATGATGGTAGCATTAAATATAGATATGCTCCACATTATGCATATAGAGAAATGCACTATACTTTTGCCTTGCATGAAATGACCTAAGCCCCATGAGTGAATTATAGATCCGGGGCTATCTATCATCATATAAATAATTACTATATCAAAATGTGCCTGAATAGTATCTGAAAAATAGAAACAAAGGGGTTAGAAAACCATGCCATTTTGTATCTTAGGTATTTATACAGTTAACATGTATAATTGGCCAAGTGTTCCGGGCATTAAAGCTCCTGAAAATGCTAACTGTGTACATGGGCACTGACCACTCCACAGCTTGCTTTCCAAAAAACAGAACAGTATTCAACTATTTTTAGATACCCATTATAAGCTTCACGGGCTTTACCAGGTAAATCCCACCCTGCCTCACACAGAACTCCAGCAAATCTTAAGTATGCAACTGTGCAATAAATATAATCTGTTTCCATTAGAAAAAAAATCAAATTACTCTGTTCCTGTTTTAAGTAAAGCCTGGTTGTTACTGCAATGGCACAGGTAGCTTACAGTAGCCACAGCCTGAAACACTGACATTCAAATATTTTTCATTAGATCTTCTTCAAAGATCAGTTCTTTTTCTCTTTATTTAATCCTTTGATGAGACTATGGAAATCTTAGGAGCAAGGTAATGACAGAAAAGCTCATTCTCTTTTATTTGTTTTTGTCCTAAATTTATGAAGCCTCTTCAAAATACTGATTGCTGATCCTGAGGTTGTACCCATTTTCAGCTTCTGGGATTTTGCTGTTACTCTGTTCACAAGCTTACAGAAATTACACTCTTAAAATGACTATCAGGAAAACAACTGTATCATTCATGGAGAAATGAAACACACCTGATAAATTCTAGACCTATTAAATATGTTGATAAGTGCTTTTTGTGACCTGCTGACACAAAGTTTCAGTGTAGAATATTTTTATATGCATTCACATGCTAGCTAGGCAGAGAATTTTTGGCAACAGTGTTTCATGGTTTTGCATAAAGTATATCTTAATTATTAATCTAATTTCAGTTTCTTCCTGCATAAGTTTCCTTCTTATTTATGCATAGTTGACTTGACTGAGCAGGCTGCAGGAAAGGGTCAGATACCCTTTCCCGAGTAAAGGGAGAACAAGCATGTTTGTGTATGCTGAAATGGCATATTTTGGGGAATATATGATTAAGTAGCCCCGTTTACTGAAGACCTTTACTAACATGTCGTTTTGGCTTAGATTCTGAAATTTTTATAAAATCATTAAGCATGAGATGTACCCAGGTTTTAGGCATACAAAATAATAATTTGTTTTGACTGTTTATACTAAAAGAGAAATTAGAAATAGAGGTCCTAATTTGCTGTGGAGCTTAAACAAAATTCACAATGTGAAGACATATTAAGCAGATGTATTATTCATAAATTACCATTCCTTAAGGCTGCAAAAAGAACAGGGATGTCCTGTTTCTCAGACAAGTTACTGAAACCACCAGGCTAGTGTCACTTAAACTTATTTCATGAATAATCTATTGCTGAGGCAAAATAGAACCACTCCAGCACGGGATCCTGGGGCATGGCTCCATATTACAATTTCTGTGGCAGAAAAATCTCTTCAAGTGACTCCTACCTCTTTCTCCATATTCAGTGATTTCTTATCATCCTCAGTACTACTTGCCTGTACTCCACACTTCCGCAAAAGCAACTGTTTGAAGGGCCTGGATCAAAATCAGTAAAGCAATGGACATTTTAGGGTGGGAGATCCCCAAAAGAACTATATTTAAAGGAATTGCTCTGTCATATTTGAAGGGCTGTTGAATTGTTGCAGATAAGGGCAGAGAGAAAATGAGTGATGGGAGCTTGTAAACACTGTGGAGAAAGTCAAGAAAGGAACCACAAGTCATGACACATCTAAACCTGCACTACTTTAAAGCGCCTTAGCCAGAGGAGAGCAAACTGCAAACACTATGGGAAACAAGTAGTCTTGGGTTTTGAGAAGTTTACCAATGAATGTAAGTTAAACTAGAAACATTGCCCATTGAAATTTCTCTGCATTTCAGCTTAATTTCCTAAGGAGGCATAGCTTGTGTGATCATGCTCTATCACCCAGTCCGAATTACTTTGGAAGCATAAATCCATTACAACAAATATTAAAAGACAGTAAAGATCTCAATATTACTGTTTTCCTAAAACTAACCTGAGAGAACAGGTTGCT